GAACAAAATTAATGATGTATAAATTAATTAAGAAGCATGCATGCATTTACTCACAGCCTTTTTGGTGCAATAGCAGCGGAATGGAAGAAACAATTCTTTGGCTTGAGCATCAGCTTGGCTCTGGTACACCTTTCCGGCCTCCTCTGCTACACGATTATGTGAGTAAAACAGGGGAAATTAGATAAGAAACAGATAATAGAGAGAGAGAGAGAGAGAGAGAGAGAGAGAGAGATTGAATTACTATGATGATGGTGGTGAGATGCAGTTTCTTTGACATGGAGCAATGTGAGATTTTGGCCCCTGCTGAGAAGATTATCAACAGTCCATTTGATAGCATGCTGACTTCCTTTGTCCTTGTCTACTGCCACAGCCACAGACTCTTCCTTCTTCCCAGGTTTCCCTCTAAGTCCCATTTCTCTTTCTCTTTCTCTTTCAATGAATGAATTAAGCAATTGATCTCAAAATTTTCTCCAACAAAGTACTCTAACCAGTAGCCAATGCCAATTACAATAGAATGATATGTCTGAGAATTCACTGAGATTCTAAGCCACAATAAAAGAAACCTGAATATATATTTTTCTTGAAAAGCTTATCTTTGATACATACAATACAACTGGAAATGCCTTTGCACAAATCTGTGCTACAGGTACTTCGATTATTATAGAGGAACTTGGGCAGAGTTTGTTGGCTCTGTTAACAACAGAGAAGAAGACAGTTAGTTTGTTCTGTTAACTTAAGAGTGCCGAATTCCTTTTATTAACCATCTTCTCTTGCCTCTATATTAAGCTAATCTGACTGATGAAGTCTGAATCTCGAATTTAGAGCCTTCTTCCAAAATTAGCTAACTTGCAGGCCCTTTTAGCTATGTAGGCCATAAAGCACAAAATCTAGGAGTTGATAGCTTCAAGTTTCAACGGTTATTTGTTAATTTGAGGCACTTCCATGTTCTCGTTTTCTTGACGCAAAGCCTAGCTAACAAATTTGATCACACGGCTTTTGACTTAAAAAAAAATTAAAAATTAACAATTTGATCACACGGCCCAACAAAAAGGTGTGTTGAACATTTACCTAACTAGAATATTGCATTCTTTTTTTCTATTTTTGGTACAATCGTTATGAAATACAATCTAACCATACACGCAACGCAACAATGCCAACATGGTGTGTTTTGAACCCACCAAATTTTATGGCATGTGTACAAAATTATTTACACCCTAAAAGATCAGCAAGAAAGCCAATGCAAAAGCCGCCATTTAGTGGCGGAGTAAGAAATTTATCACATTGAGAATGTGATAATTAAAAGCTCTCCACCTCAGCCAGGTGTGCCTCACAGCCTCAGCCTTTTCTTTGCACCTCAGAGCTATTTCATCAAATTCCTTAAGGTTAAGATTGAATGTTGGGGTCAAGATTAGTGGAAGAAAAGAAAAAGATATTGGGTTCGTCTCACCCCCATTGATCACATACTGCCGTTGCAACTACCTGCACAGAAGCTAGATAGATTGCTGATCTTCTAGTTGCCCCAATTGGTGGGTCGTTGGCATGAGTAAGTTTTTGGTGTGATCATAAGTTCATCACATCGTCAACAATCGACTCATGTTATAACACGTTCGGTGACAGCTATGAGTTCCTCCTCATCAAGAGGGATTTATATGTAACTCCATATAATCCATGCATAACGATAAACCTCTTAACCAAAGCTGAGTTATAATTGATGAGGACTTTCCAACAGCGATAATGAAAAGTTCAGCAACGATGAAGATGGGATTGGTTTTTCAAACTCATATTCAAGGGCTTGATTTTGGTTTGTAGCTAGTGAAGGTGGCTGCATTTCAAAAGTCAAGAGGAGTGAATTGCTTTTGTGAAAAACACCACTGCCAAATAGATAGTTTGTTTGATGACCATTTTATTTTTAGTTTTTATTTTTATTTTTTATTTTTTTGTGCTAGATAGTATAGAGGAAAATGAGAGTGAGAATGGGAGCGAGGATGAGATTGAGAGAGAGGATGAAAGGGGTGGATAGGAGGGAGGAGCAACAAAAGTGAAAATAAAAACTTGAAAGTGATAACAATTTCAAATCGATTTCTGTTTTTAGTTTTTGTTTTCACTTTTGTTACTCCTCCTTCTCATCATTCCCTCTCATTTTCCCTCTCAAACCCATCTCCACAACTCCACTTTCATTCTCACTTCCATTCTCCCTCTTTTTTCTCTATACAAAAAATGAAAAATGAAAACTAAAAACTAAATTGAAATGATTATCAAACAAATTAACTTGACCTCTCTTGTCTTATCCATAAAAAGGAAAACTAGACCGACCTCTCTTTCCTTGTAATTGTCCTGCTCAACATTTAGACTTATAGGGGTGTATTCAATTAGGATTCTAGAGTGTTTAAAAATATTTTAAAAATTCGGGTGTATTCAATTTGGATTTATACAAACTTTTAAAAAGTCTATAACAATTTGGGTGTATTCAATCTAGACTTGTTTGAACTTTTAAAATGTTCATCTAAATGTGGGTGTATTCAATTAGGACTTGGAAAAAGTCCAAATAAATTTACCTATATTTAAAAGGAGATAGATTTGGAAGGATTTAATTAAGTGTTGGAGTTTGGAGAATTTGTGGGTTTTAGGTATAAATAATAAAGGCCAACATAAATTCAACCTCCACCCCAAAGATTTCATACGACATGTTTTTTTTTTCTCTCCGCGTTAGAAAATTTTCCATCGTATGGCAAACAATGCACTAAGCCATGCACTGGCCTTGGGTGGTTACAAGCGTCTTGTATTAAGCAAAGCTCCTCAATTAGTGATTTCTTCAAGTCAACTAGTTGGAGTTGCTGGACGGAAAGCTTGGCTAGATATTTCTCGATCTCCAATACCTTCCCCTGGAGATCATCTTGGGGTGAAGCCAACGTCAAGGCGGCGGAAGGTTGAGATATATTTCCATCACCAGTGGCGGATCCAGGAATTTTTTAGGGAAGGGGCAAATTTAAAAGGCTAAAAGCTCCATAAAATTATTTAGACAATATCAAATAACCTTGAATTTAAACAATACTAATATCATTCATAATTTATAGAAAGAATAAAATTACAAACAAATCTTCGATGAACTCACTTTTAATATCTAAAGTGGGAGAGAATATCTCCTATTCTCAAATATCTATAGAGATCTCATCAACTTGCTTTTAATTTGTTTTGCTATGTTTGGAGTTTCTTCAATCTAAAGTGACAATATTTTGAAAGACGAAGTATGGAGGGTAGGCGTTTTTGATCCCTTAAAGTGAGGCATAAGCTTTGAGACATTGAGGTGTAAACCTTTTGAACTTGAATTATTTTAAAAAGGAATATATAAAAAAGATATGTTACTCATCTATTTAACACCAAAACATGAAGATGACATGACTATTAAAAAGAAAAAATAGATATGACATTTTTTAAAATAAAAAATTTAGAAAAGAGATGGCCTATTAATAAGTATTATATATGTTATGAAGTGGGCATGAGAAACTATACCTGTTCAATTAATAGTGAATTCCAAATTGCACCTCCTCAGACTCAGACTTTAAGGAATTTTGTGCCTTTGTGGGTCCGCCACTGTCCATCACCCATAACACTACCAGATGATAGGGCCCTTGCTTTTTGGACAAAGAGTTGTTTTTTTTAATTGAATTTTTGGACGAAGAGTTTGCTGCTCATGAACAAAATCAAAGGGAAATTTCCAACTCGTGGAAATTTCAAAGGGAAATTCATTGTTGTGGACGCAAGTAGAGGAAGAATTTGGAGAAAAAAAAAAAAGGGATGGTCAACTAGCGGCTAGGTCAAGATAGTTTAAAGAAAATAGTGTTGGGAAGAAAGAGTGATAAAAGAAAACAGTATTGGGAAGTCTATGCAAATATATCTGAATCTATAACAAAAGTTCATACAAAAGTATGAAAATCTATAATAAAAGCCTATACAAGTTTATTAAAAATCCGGGTAAAACCTATAGGAGTTATACAATTCCAGGAAATCTGTCACTTAAAAAAAAAAATTCAAAATCGTATACAATCCTAATTGAATACACCCCCCTTAAATTGTATGAAAAGTTTAAATAAAGAGACTTCCCCAGGAAGACATCTATATTATCAATGGCAAAGTGTGAGAGCTCTCGTTTTGTTGTTCGGCGATTTGCTCGGATTTTGGGAAGAGCAGCTCAACCTCCACCACCCCCTTCAAAACCAACAGATAGCCGATTTGTGAATTTACCTCACAGCAGAGGTAGGGACTTTGATCATCCAAGAAAAAAACCCACTCCAGCACCTAGAGCACCTAAGGGCGGACATCCCTAGTATGAGAATACCATGTTTTAGCAACATCTATACTTTTAATAAAAGGATAGGATTCTTCTTGTCAATCTCAACGATAATATAATAAATAAAAACTTCAAATATGCTCTTTATTCTCCTTTCTGATTCAAATCTTACTTTCTGATTGGTTCCTACTTCCACACTCATTTTTATTTTCCAACCAATTCATTCATTAGGCATGTCTCACTTCCTTTCTTTACACATTCAACAAATTGTAATGAATCAGAGAGATGGGTAGTACTCTTGGTGTTAAATTCGGCCTTATGGACTTTAAATGGGCGGGTCGTTGGCCAGGCTTGAGTTTAAAGCTCTTACCCAAGTATGGCCTACTAAAATATTTAGTCAGGCCAGCCAGGCTATCTAGTTGTCGGTCAAATGATGATCCCTACTATAGTCTATGCTTAATCACTAAATTTAATTGCAAATTAACTAATCAAAGATTAATTGACTCCTAATCCCATGACCATTTTATAATTGATCAATGCTTTCCAACAGGGACAATGACAAGTTCAACAATGGAGGTGGATTTGGATTTCCAATCTCGCAAGCAAGGATTTTTTTTATATTTTATTTTTTGACTAGTTTGCTTTCGCTTTCGTTTTTGTTTCTTTTTTACCCTTAAAAGTCAAGGGTGATTTGATTTGTCAAAACAGCTGTGTGAATGTACCACATCTTAACTTGACCTCTCTTTCCTAGCAATTGCCCTTGTCAACATAGCCTTCAATGTCTGCAAACACTAAATAAGAGACTTAAAGAAGTCATCCCATGCATAACTCAAGCTTTCTTCATTAACAATGGCAAAGCTCCTTCTGGTATCAGCCTCTGCACTAGTCCTTGTCATCCTATTGCTTGAGCTTAGGTTGGCTTACTCTTCAGCCGAACCACAAGGGCCAATAAAGGGTAAGGTTTTTAACTTTACACATTGCTCTTGCTGATATATATATTTTTCATCATTCAATTGATAGCAATAATGCAGCTGCTAACACCTGTAGCTGTTCAGAAAGCAAGGCCAACTTTGATAAGCAGCGATCAGCTCGGATTTTAGGAATGGCAGCTCCACGTCTACGACCCCTTCGGATATTAACAAATGCAGGCAGGGACCGTGATCATCCAAGAAAACCCAGTCAAGCACCTCCTAAAGCACCACCTGGTGGACATCCCTAGTACGAGGATCGGGTCTTGTCTAAAGATTCGTAGTGACAGTAGGACATCATTGGATTTTGCAGTGACAACATAGACAAAACAGAGCAAAACTCTGACCTGTGTATAAATTGCAATGTTTCATTCTTGATTTCCTGCGCATATATGTATGAAACTGTTTGTTTCCCAAGAATAAGTTAACAGTTGGTGTGAACTGCCTGCCACCTTCATGAATACATAAATTGAGAACCAGTTAAAGTGATACTTCAATGGCAATCCTCTATTTTGTGGCAATTTACCTCGATTGCACCTGCTTCTTCTTCGATGCATCTGTTGAAAAAAAATGTTTTAGAAATTGAACTGAAGGAAAAAAGAAAGAAATCTACTTAGTAAAATTCTGATATAGTGATGCACCGACACCGAACTTGAGAACGAACGAATTTTTATTCATCAAAATCTCCAAAATAGTAAATAAAACATAAACATGGGGAGAGCTGATTGGCCAAAAAAATTAGAATACCTAGTTTCTCTCTCAAAAAAATGAGAAACTTTCTACATTATAACTTGTTATGTGAGAGATTTGAGGAAGGAAAAAGCTGATGCTTCTTGGTGCCCTGGTTTCAGGTTCATGATCTGTATATATTCAATGAACAGAAGCCGATATTGATTGCTGATTGTACAACCTAGTTACCCCACTTCTGAGCTGCCGGCTTCTTCTCCTCTACTTGACAACTGTAAATCCTTCGGCATGCCCTTACTTTGTATTTACATCCGTTGTTCTTGCTTGCTCAGAGCCACTGGATTCAGAAGGCAAGTCCTTCTTTCCTTCATTTCCATAGTGAATTTTTATAATTGCACTGTCATTTTCTATGTCATCTGAATGTGAATGGTTTTCCTGCTTACTTTCGGTTACAGGATCCTTATCATGCTGGACAGATTTAATTATGAAGCTGAGCAATATCTGCCTTGCAAGCTCAAAGGATCCTTGTTGTGTGGCGAATTGGTTAAATTTTTGTTTCTTTTATCTTTTGGCCTTATGAATTTTTATTGTTGTTTTTATTTTTTTTGAATTTGTTTGATTAGTTTATTGCTTATGTGGAGTCCACATATGCATGAAATAGCCCACGTGTACAAAACTACTCAAACACCATTTCCACGTCATCAAATTTAACAGAGTTTTGGATTGAGTTGACGGCATTGGGTAAAGTGGGTCACCAAACCATGATCAATGGGGTCAGTGGGCCACTTTAAGTTTGAGGGGGCAATGTGAGATTTGACCGTAGTTTCAGGGGGCATTGGTGTAATTAAGCCTTACAATAATTGAGTGGGTGATGTGGCAAGTGAAGCCTACCTCCACATAGATAAAAACATAATTAAATCTATAAATAAAATAAATTAAAATAAATCAGAAAAATTACATTAAAAAAATTAGAATTAAATATTCTAATAATTAAAAATCCTACCCGGCTGCCCCAATCCTTCCACCCAAAAAATCCTTCACGAACAACTCCACCATCACCATCGGATTCGTAATCACCACCACCTTCCTCTTGCACTTGTCAAACACTGCGAAACTGTTCGGCCTCACGTGTGCCACATAAAACCTAATCAAATTAAAAAATTAAATTTAAAATGTCAAATTAAAATGTAAATGAATTATTTTGGACAAACTACAAAAGACACCCCCCCTTCAAAGAAAATTATAGGGTCATTTTTAATTTCATACTCATTTTTTAGGACATTTAGAGCATCTCCAGTGGGTCATTTTTAAGTTCATACTCATTTTGGGGACATTTAGAGCATCTCCAGTAGTATGAGATTGGGGCTTGCATTTGCCACATTAGCATTTAACAGATTCATTAACAGTTTGCGTAACGATGGGGGCAATTTGTAGGTTTTCTATGACTTTGAGTATGAACTTGTAAATATCCCCAAAAATGATCCCTAAATTTTGGGGAATCTTTTTTAGTTTGTCCAATTAGTTTTTATTTGATTTTCGTGTACCAAGGGAGGGCGGTGTTGGAGGCGAGCTCGATGTCGTAGATGTGGAGGCTGGAGAAGGAGATGAAGATGAGGATTTGGATATGCTGAGGGCTTCAAAGAAGAAGAAGTAGGTGATGATGACGAGGGGGAGGGAGAGGAAGAGGCAACCAGCTTCAATGGGGACGAGCATGAAGTAAGGGTGGGTTCTGGGTGGGAGGATTGGGGAGGCTGGGTAGGGTTTTTTTAATTATTAGAATATTTAGTTCTATTTTTTAAAAGTAATTTTTCTTATTTATTTTAATTTATTTTAATTATGTTATTATCTATGTGGAGGTGGACTCAACTTGCCACGTCACCCACTCAATTGGTATAATGATCTATGTGTATGAAATTACAAAAACATCTCTTTCATGTCATAAATGTTAACAGACTTTTGGATGGAGTTGACGGTAGAGGTAACGTGAAACATCAAACCTTGATTAAGGGAGAAAGTGGGTCGTTTGAAATTTGAGGGGACAAACTGAACTTTGATTGTGTTGTAAAGTCGGTGGAGACCAAACAGTCATAAAGTTAGTAAAGACCAAGCCCACATAATTTAATAGTCAAAAGGGCAATAATTATGTTGGGGTAAATTCTTGAAGATGCTTTCACAGGAGGCCATTCTAATTGCCTATAAATAGGCTTCTCCCTCAGTTGTAAATGAAACAACCAACTTCAGAGAGAAATTTAAGAAAGAGTGAGTAAGAATCCTGAGAGTGTGAGAGCTCTATCAGTAAAGAAAGTTCTATCAGTGTAAAACCACAAGAACTAAATACAATTCTACTCCCAATATTCAGTGGTAATTCCCATACTTTGATTTTTTTATTTTATAACACGTTATCAGCACGACAGTCTCTCCACCTTTAAATTTCCTCAGCTCAACACTATGTGGTTATTTCTCTTTCTCCTCTCCGTCATATGTCTCTTCTCACTTTACTACTACGACGACGTGCAAACTTTCATTTTTGTGCTCTCACAATTTTTGTGTTGTTTCATCCATGTTTGTTTAATTTATTTCTTTGTAATATAATTTGGAATGGCGCGGTTTTATTCCCCATTCTGTTATTTTATGGTGGTGTAATTTTCATTACCCATCGCGTTGTAACACAAGTTATCATAATAAAATGATGGTGTGATCTTAAAACCCATCTATTATATCTTGAATAAGTGGTGCAGTTATATTGCCCACACAATATAATATGTACCTCCTATATTTTTAGTGGTGGTTTTATCCCCACACTTATTTTATTTACTGTATGGTGTAAGTTTATTACCCATACGGCAGTATTTATTTAAAGTGTGGTGCGGGTTTATCGTTCACACAACTGCCTTTATTTCCTTTTATTTAAAAGTATGGAGCAGGATTAGTGCCCATACCAGCACGTTTACTTTACTGCACATTTACTTTTATTTAAAGTATGGTGCGGGATTAACGTCCATACAGCAAGCAATTTACTTTGTGAATTTACTTTACCGCACATTTACTTTTATTTAAAGTATGGTGCGGGATTAACATCCATACAGCAAGCAATTTACTTTATGAATTTACTTTATCGCACATTCAATTTCATTTAAAGTATGGTGCGGGTTTATCGTCCATACCAGCAAATTTATAGCACTTTATTTTTGTAATCAATCAAAATGAGGGCTTGGAGTTCCTCAAACAATTACAAGGCCTGAAGTTCCTATTAATAAATGGCTTAATGTCCCAGATCCCGAGCCTGAAATTTTGGATAAAATATACATGATAACTTTGGCCTGAAGTTCAAAAATATATTAAACCTGAAGATTATTGCGAATTCTAATGCATCTCATTTTTCTTTTGAAGATGGCAAATTTGGCAAAATTGGAATTCGCTGCCCTAGACATTTCTGGGGACAACTACCTATCATGGGTCCTGGATGCCAAGATCCATCTGCGTGCAAATGGCCTTGGAAAAGCAATTGAAGATGGAAGTGATGCATCACCTGAGGAAAATGCGAAGGCCATGATTTTCCTTCGCCGCCACATTCATGAAGCGCTGAAAAGCGAATATGTGGTGGTTGATGAACCATTGGTCCTGTGGAAAGCTTTATGCGAGAGATATAATCATCAGAAAACGGTGACTCTCCCAAGAGCTAGATACGAGTGGACACACTTGAGATTTCAAGATTTCAAGACAGTGTCTGAATACAACTCAGCCATGCACAGGATCACCTCCCTTATGAAATTATGTGGTGAGAATATCTCTGAGGAAGATATGCTCGAAAAAACTCTGAGTACATTCCATGC